CGTGAGGATCTCCTCTGCTGCCCCCCTCCGCAGGGAGGCGGGACCTATTCGAGCGGTCCGCCCCTGGCGACTGATGGACCCGCAGGGGTTCCAAAGGCAGCTGGGGGCTGTTCCTGAGGCCTTGCTGCACGGTCCAGCGGAGGCCCTGGCTGCAGCCTGGCATAAGGAGGCAGCTGGGCCCTTGGACAGGATCTCGGCCCATCCCCCCCAGCACTCCCTGTGGTTTACAGAGGAGTTAAGGGAGCTGAAAAGGGCTAAGAGACGTCTAGAGCGAAAACTAAAGACAAGTCCAACCAAACACAGGTTAGAGCCGCTATTAAGGCCTACCTAGTGGTGGTAAGGGTGGCAAAATGTCAGTATTTCTCCGCTTTCATTGCATCCTCAGGGTGTCGCCCAGCAGGGTCACTCGGTCCCTCCTGGGTAGGGAGGGCTCAGAGGACTGTTTACAGGGCCGTGCAGAGGAATTTGCTGAACACCTGATGGATGAAATCGCTAAGATCCGTTCTCAGTTGGAGGCCAAGTGTGAGGCGGGTCCAGTGGAGTTGCCCAGGGAGCGGTCTTACCCAGTTATCTGGGAACAGTTTGATCCTGTTGCCCCTGAGGAAGTGGACAGCGTCCTCAGGGCTGTTAATGCGGCTACCTGTATTCTAGATCCTTGTCCCTCCTGGTTAGTTAAAGCCACCAAGGAGGTGACTTTAGTGTGGATACTGGCGGTGGTCAACTCATCCTTGCAGGGGGGGTGTTCCCGAAGCTTTTCAAGGAGGCTTTGATCCGCCCCCTCCTCAAACCATTGCTGGGCCCCACCCTTCTGGACAATTTTCATCCAATCTCCCACCTTCCCTTTCTAGAAAAGGTGGTGGAAAAGGTGGTTGCACGTCAGCTTCAGAGGATCCTAGAGGAAACATTATCTGGACCCCTATCAGTCAGGTTTCAGACCCGATTATGGGACACAAACAGCACTGGTCACACTTTTGGATGATCTCTGGCGAGAGTGGGATGGGGGTAGTTCATCCATCCTTGTTCTTCTTGACCTCTCAGCGGCTTTTGATACCATTGACCATGGGATCCTTTTGGGTCGGCTGCAGGAGTTGGGGCTGGGTGGCACAGTGCTGTGCTGGTTCAGCTCCTTTCTCCAAGGCTGAACCCAATTGGTGTTGATAGGGAGCGAGAGGTCCAACCCATGGCCTCTACTTTGTGGAGTGCCTCAGGGTTCAGTGCTCTCGCCGCTCCTATTTAACATCTACATGGAACCGTTGGGTGAGATTATCCAGCACCATGGGATGAGGTATCATCAGTATGCTGATACCCAACTATACATCTCCATCCCAGGTGCCTTAAGTGATGCTGTGACTGCCCTCTCGTGGTGCCTGGAGGCTGTGGGGGCCTGGATGG